TTCTTTTTTTTTTGTTTTGGATAGTTTATTTTTTTTCAATATTTTGATTAGATGGACATAAAATGGAAAGAAAAAAAAATGTTTTATGAATTGGTTGTATAATAAGAAAATATCGAAAGAAGGGAAGGATTCACCAAAACAAACCAAACTGTTGATCAAGACCTTTCAATCAATTTATTTTCAAAAATTCTTGTTATTGCTTTATAATAACTTTCAATCAATTTATTTCAAAAATTTTTGGGTTGTTATTGCTTTATAATAAGTATGCAGCAGAACAAAAATCCTGTACCTGAAATTTGAAAAATTCAAACCCTGCTATCGTTTGCTAATTCGTTTTTTCCGAGGTTTTTTTGCAACTCTTCTTTTCCTCCTGAAAGAAGAGATGAAGATCATTATGTATTTCTGATGTTTTTCCTGGAACTGCTGTTCTCAGATGTCGGATGCGATACCAATCATGTCTCATCAATCTGTCACATTCATCTCTTATTGCGGCTCTCAACATTTTGATTAGATGCTGATATCATTCAATTATAAAGTTGAAAAAATATCTCTTCTTGATGAATTTGAACTATTGGGTAGAACGTCTAGTCTTATTAGATATGATTACTTTTGAGAAGATTCACGAAATCTGGTATGGATTGATGTCTATTGAAGTAGCAACTAGCTGTTTTTTTTTTTGAATTTGAACACTTCTGGAAATGATTATCCAGGAATTTTATAACACGGAGATAATTATATATAAGCTTTGTAAAAGTGAAGTTGAAATTTGAGTAGGCTATTTTACTTTACTAAAAAAATCTTAATACGTAAGTGTTATGAAAAAAACCAGTGCTGCGAAATTTATCAATCAGTTAGATTCAATGTTGCGAAATTTATCAATCAATTAGATGAAGCAGGTTGAAAGCAATTTTTTTTTCTTTTTTGATATGATCCGTGTTTTCAGTGATACTTTGTGAAATGATTGAGAGAATTAGAGCATAAATAGCTTCCAACTCTTAACAATTTGTTTTTTCGACTTCGGAATTACGAAACAATTAAGGAAAACGATTAAATGGCTCGTTACAATGATTTATGACTCGATTAATAAAATGACATTTATTGATAAAAAAAAATGAACGGTTAGTTCCGTCACGCACATGTATCAACACAAATGTGATTTCGTCTGGTCCTCCTCGTAGTACGGATCATTTCGATGGTGTTTTATTTGCAGGGTTCAATTTACATAAAAATCCACATTTGTCTAAAATTCTGTTAACAGTGTAATTTTATCGAAAGTGTAAAACAAATAAATAGCTTATTTATATTGAAATTTAACACTTGCAACTATTAAGCTTTCCAAACATTTTAAAATTAGTTTCATTTCAATGAGCATTCATTCAATACAGTCAATAATTATTAGTTAGCATAGTTTAAAAAGTAACTATCAATTATTAATTAACCTTGAAATTATTGAAAACTTTTTTATTTTCTAAATGAAAGATAATTTATCTGAATATTTAACCAAATATCGTGTAAACCAATTTTTGAGCAATAATTAAAGAAGCAAAGAGAAGAAAGAATAAAATGAAACGTTAAACAAGTCGAAAAGTACGTCCAATGTTATTATCATTGTTAGGACCATTTTTACAATCACTATTCCCACCCGATTCTAAAATAAAATTTATCAACTTAATGAATTATTTTCTTTTTATTGCACATGTTTACATGTTCACAAGAAATAGTGTATTTTTAATATAATATTTAAGTCTAGTGTATTTGAATTAAACTTTCTAATTATGTCATGTCCATTTCTTAGCATCTTTCACCTTTGATATTCTCGCATCACGTTGAATTATTCAAATGAGAAGTTTGTACATATTGGCCATAATTGATTTTTGCTGGTAGTAAAAGAAAAGCAATTCGAATCATCCCACCTTTACAGTTTTTTATATTTCATTTAATTCAATCTTTCCTGAACGTAGTAAATCATATGATTAAAAAAATCAAAGAAATGTGCAAGAATGTTTTCAGCATTTTTGAAAGAAATATTTCTAAAACTGCAAACAAATCCAGATTGGTACTTGAAATCTTGAACTTCCCATAAATAGATATAAGTGTAACTAATCATTTTTATCAACTTATGAAAAACTCGAGATTTATCAGCATATCAGTTCAGCAAAATAATAAATTCATTTTTTTGTCAGGGATCGAACTTAACTTTTTTTTACCGTAACGTCTTATTATTTTAAATCTAAATTGACCTTTGTTATTTTCCATTATTATTAGCAATTCCCTTATTTACTAAAAATTTTTTAAAACTTCTCATAGCTCTAAAACAGAATTTCTTTTTTAAAAAAATAGAGATCATGCAACAAATATTTCGAAATTTCTCAAATCAAACTGATGAAGTAAAAGCCCAAAATTGAAAAAAAAACTGATGTAGATATACCTGAAAGTGATGAAATTGGTATCTTTAATGGAATTCTTCTTAGAGTCCTTGGTTTAGTGATGAATGAAACCTTTATGGTATGCACTTAATGAGAAATATTACTATCAAACAACCTTGTTCAACACTTAACCGAGCAAAACCAGATCTAAGTCTTGCTGATCTGACGATGTCGTTGAACATACAATTCTGATTGACGGTGTATTCATTTCATCACATTTTTGTTGTAAACAAAATGAAAAACTTCCTCGTCTTCCTTCTTTGCTTACCCGTTGCTCTCAATTTTCTTTCTTGTATCGCCACCATGAAATTAATTCTTCAAGAGTAGGATATTTATTTTTTCATTTTTTATTATTTTTAGATTTTTGAATTTAGATGATAAAACTTGCTGGAAAACTTTCAAATATTTTAACTATAATAAATGCAGATAATATGAAAGGATTGAAGCTACTGAAAGGTTTTTGCTTGAACGCATGATCAAAACTTTAATCATATTCATGTTTTAATTAATTTCGTGATAGAAGTTAGGTGAAAGAAAAGGTGCAACTTGAAAGAGAAATATTTAGACAATAAAAAAAGTACAGTCTTCAAATAATTAGATTTTAATGACCTAGGAACATCCTTCAAATTTGCCTTGCATAAATTAGTCATAGGAATTTACAAATATTTTAAAATTATTGTCGATGATTAATCCAGATCCAATCACGTAACAATTACTTATCTAAATTTGCTGATGAATTGAAAAAAACTTTAGATTGAAAACAATTTCAAAAATCAATCTTATTAACAGATGTTCTCATTCACAACTATAAATGTCACCACGTCGTTTTAATAATGTGGAATTTTTGAAATTTTATTATTTAATTTCACTCACAACGACATCGCTCTGCGGTAAGATTGCTAGCCACTTTATATTGTTTCTAGAATTTTGGAATTGAAAACTGCTAATCAATCGTGTAGTGCAAATCTATCCTTGCTGTAAAATTTTCGTCAACACGGCTAATATCACTATTATCGTCACTATCATTATAAACAGGAATTGCAAAAACTTCAATCAATTCACATTGATGTTGATTTCGTCAAAAGAGTTTTTGAATTTTGTTTATTATATACGTCATCTTCCTTTTTTTAATCATTATTTTCCTGCAACTTTTTTTCTTATCGTTCTCCTTTAAATAAAACCAAAAATTACTACCATCAAACTCTCATTTCTCACAATAACTCTTTGAAAGACGACTGCTCGCTGCATTAAATGATCTTCATCTATTGTTCGTTTTTACATCAACTGATGAATTATAACGATCTTTATTTCATATTTAAGGTATCTGTAATAATTAACAAAGAATAAATAATCAGTTTTGAAGACAAAAATTCTCAAATCTTTTGAAAGTTGTTCAACAGTTCAAATAATACGCTAAAATTTTATTTGTTATGATGACTTCTTTTGTTTAATAAATCAGCGAGTGCATTTCTTCTTTAAAAAAAATGTGCCAATAGAAAATTTTAAATTTCAAAATCGAGGAGTTTTCTTGAATATAAAAATGAAATCACTGAATATAAAAATGAAACCATAAATGAAATTGTTTTGCAGCAAATGAAAACTGAAAATTGCTGAATTCGCTTAGTGGTAAACGTAAAATGAAAAGAATTAGCATACTGCTTGAAGTAGTCACTATTGTTTTATTTGTTAATTATTTGACAGCAGCTCCATCATGCTCTATTTATGATCCATTCCGAATACAGCCTGATGATAACAAAGTGCGTTCTTTTCACTCTTAACTTTATTTCATTCTTTATAAATGAAACGAATATACGGAAATGTAATGATGTCCAAACTTCATTATAGTTCCATTTAACTTGTAAACTTGTAACTTGTAATGTACCATTTAAAGTAAATTCTTAAAGCAACAAAAATTCATAAGTGGTAACGCTTATAACTTGTAATTTTGTTACAGTACCAGATCGGTGCAGCATTTCCATTACATGATGAAGATTGTGTGAAATTACATGAGGAAGCAGTTCAGGATATTGTTGCAGTTCAATGGGCACTAACTCATTGGAATCAAAATTTGAAGACTAACAATTTAAAAACCAGTTTGTTAATGCTACCAGTTTTTCTTTTTATTTTATTATAAAACTATTTAAAAGAATTTATAAAAAAAATATGGTTAACTTTGGGAAAAAATATGTCATTCATTGGCTTGTTCTTGAGAAATTAGCCAGTTATTTTTTTAGGTTTCTATGCCGGTGACACATGTTCAAAACCGAAAGAGGCAATTTCGCAAACACTCAAATTTTTGGATTCACTTGGTTTCTACGAGCCTGATGAATGCAGCACAGGAAATCAGAATTTCCGCCAACTTCTTGGTATAAATCTAAATTGAATTAGAGTCGTTTCTATGAATTGTTTTTAATTTTACATGTGATAAAACATTTGTGACAATTTGCTTTAAGGATGTAATGATTAATTCGCATAAATTTAAGGATTATTTTTGCCGAAAGATGCTGCATCGGCAAAAGCAGTCGCTTCAATTCTCCAACCTACACCGTTACCATTGTTGGCGTACAATTATGCAGCAGCTGATGAATTGACACAAATGAATGTTTCTCATTTCGCTACAACTGCACCAACACTGACAGTTTTCATCGATGTTAGCTTTTTCATCCTCTTTGTAAGAAAGAATTTAAGTCATTCCATCAGAACAATGCATGTAAATAAAATCAAATTCCGAAAAAAAAGAAAAAATCAAATAAAACGGAGATTTGAAGATTTTTTTCAAATTGTTACACGAGTTGTAACTATTACATTCTAGGCATTTACAAGATTTATGAAAAATTTGAATAACAACTTGGTGGCAATCGTGAGAAGAGCCGAAGACGAAAAGTTAATAAACCGCCTCGTTAGCAGATTGCGGCAGAAAAATATTTTCATTTCTGAACTAATTTATCCAGAAACTTCCAATTTTGAGCAAATTATTCGGAATTCAGACAGCCGAATCGTACTTACGTTTTTGCCCAAAAAGGAGGTAAATTTTTCTTGGAAATCTTTTTTCAGCTACTTATTTCCCGTTGAATTTTATTATCATGAATCTTGGAAAGTCTAATTTTTTTTTGTGATGAAACGACAAGATGTTTTGAAAAATACAATAAAGCATAGAGGCTTTGCAAATAGGAATTCAACAAAATTTCACAGCATTTCGTTCAATTTATCTTAAAATAATAATGAAATCTATGACAGTGGTAAAAGTAGCATAATGATGCAATTACAAATAATGGAATCAATAACTTTAAAGTGTCACTTTAAATTTAAGATCTCGTCAAGTATCAATTAAAAATCCCATTTCAAGATATCTGGTAGATTGTACAAATGTTGTTAATCATCATCCGTTTGTTCCATATCTTGTTTTCGTCTTCTTATATAATCCTCTCATTCTCATTCCTAGTTCAATTTCTCCTCGAATAATTAGCACATCAAATTTTTTTTAAATTCTTGAATGAACAATAAAATATCAAAGTTTTAGTCGTAATGATTTCATGGATATATGAGTTGTGATAATATATGTACTTGTTGCTGTCATATATGTAACTGTGGAAAATATTAACAACAAAATTAAATTATTAGTGGAAAGGGAACAAAGTTACAATCTATAATACAAATGCTAAACAAAATGACTCCTTCTTTTTTACACTTCCATTAATACATTAAATTTTAGTTTGGAGAACAAAATACGAGTGAAGAAATAGAGAATTTTTTTTTTTGAAATCTTAAGTAGTTTCAATTTTTATTTAACTGGCAAAAATTTTCGCGGACTTTAATTTTAATTTAAAATACTTTTAGCTTAGAAAATTACTTGCTGGAAAAAATTTTGGAACTGATAAAACGTGGATTGTAATTGAATTGGATGCGGACAAACAACAATCTAAACCGTCAGAGTTTGTTATAGATTCAGATGTTCAGGTAGCTTATTCAGCAACTTTATGCTGTAGATTTTAAAAAGTTGAATTTATTTGTGCTATTAGAACATTGGCCTTGTTTTAGATAATATATTTGCGTCAACAACAGCGTGATTTATCCCATTTCAAGAATTACTTTTTGCGATTGTTAAGCAACAACTATCAGTCCTATTCCTTACTCAGTTCGTTCATGCAACAGGTAACCTTAACCCGCCACTTCCGTAGACCGTTTCAGCAGTCTATAAATCGTACGGATGCATTTCTTCAACTTTTTATTTTGCGAAGATTTTTTTCCTTTGTAATGGAATATATCCATTCATTTTTAAAAACTTTTAAAAATTTCTCTTAGGTCACAGAATATTTTTCAAGCTTTTTCAGAATTAAAATTGGTTTTTTGAATTTTTATTTAGATGTGCAACTGTACTATGTCGAATGCAAATAATGGTGATGACTGCTCTAAGACTGATATTCAAACGATGGCACTTAATTATAAGCAGACATCAACTGCCGAATCCATAATTAAAGCCATTTATGCTTTTACTGCTGTTGCTGCTAGACTAGAGAAAAAACCAATGGCATTAACACTATGGTGAATTTAATTGAATTTCAGTAAGTTGCTGTAAAAATATGTTGAAATAGTGACAATACTTCCTTGTCATTTTCCATTTGATGAAAATTTCAAAATTTCAAGAGAATAAAGTAACTTTAACAAAAACCTCACCTGATTAGCTTATCAAAGTGATGAAGTAATGCATGTGATGATCAAAATAAACTATGATAACAGGATAGCATTTTGGTCGGTAAATTTCCATCAGCTAATAGATTAAGCTAATATTTAAGTATTGTCATACTGCTTTTCTTTAGATAGCTAAAGCCATATTGTAGTGCAGAAGTGTCACCAAATAATGTTAAGAAATAAGTAAAAGTATGTTATAGTACTAAACCATCCCCGAAATGCACGGAATTAATTATGACCGAACTAGAATCATTGATTTATGAATTTAATGTCAATGATCCAGCGGAATTAGTTGGCACAAATTTGCATTTTTACTGGGAATCGAATACAACATTGATGTCGAATGGGATTGTAATCGAAGGAATAGAAATGGTTGATAACAAGCAGCTAGGTGTTATGGAAGTTAAGGTAATCATTACATTATCAAAAAAGTTTGTTCAAAAATAAAATTTTACTTTAATAATAGTTCATGGCCATGAAGAGACCACTCTTTGATGAATAAATCAATTTAATGATAACTGAAACAAGGTTAAAATTTGGTACTAACATGTGTTATCGTATTCTTTTTATTATTTTTGTTTGAAGTTTAATTCCGTATTCAGATCTTATACAAATTACAAAATATCAAACTAAGGCTAACGCACGAATTTATATAAAACCAAATAAATTTAATTGGCTTAACTTTCAAGACCAGTAAGACTTTGACTTCTGGACAAACAACAAAAGAATTAAATAGCATACGAAGCAGTTCATTTATGTGCTTTATTAGTATGTAGAAATGAATGTCATTGAATTTAGAAACTTGAAATAAAGCAAAATTTGTCAGATAATGGAATATGAAACTGGAATTAAGCCACGATTTACTATGACTACACCGCAAAGTAAAATTCATTCTACATGTGCGCCATATCGATCTTATTGTGGCCAATGTGACTACACAGTAAAAATTGATCAAAAGGTGCGATTTTATCTTACATTACCAGCACTTATTGAAATTGTCTAAATTATCATAATTTGCATGATAATAAAGTGGATATGTGTTTAATTATTTAAAATGCATATGCAAATTGATAATCTTTTTTTTATTTTAAACTTTATTAATATTTCAGAGGTTTTACTTACCAAACCCACGACCACATCATTTATACATTATTGGTTTATTTGATTTTCATGGCGGCCGTACTTGTCAGTCCTATAGAAATTCAGATATTTCACTTCCGCTTGCTTTTTTATATACGGTAAATCATTGGAGATACTTTGCTAAATCTATGAAATTTTCACATTAAAAAATCTTCGATAAAATTTAATACATTAGATTTAAAAAATGATTTTGAATCATTAAAGATTTCAGAAGGATTGATCTGAAATTTTTTAGTTGGCGACCTTTTCTCAACGCCATCCACAAATAAGCCTACTTCGGAACTTAGACATAGGTTCTATATTGATCGATTCATGTTCATCGGGACGAAAAGCTGTTGAAACAGTAATACTTGCAGAAAATTACTGCTTTACCTTCGAACAAGGTGGTGGTCAAAATATCACAGTAGTTCCAGGATCTGTTTTTGGTCCGTTTTATCAACTTTATTTGCTAATTTACCTTATTTATCATTTTCACACTTCCTAATCCTACTAGTCTTACTGCATTAAGGTTTTGATCGTTAATAAAAGATTTGAAATGCAAATCCATTTTGAGATACCTCAATACCTTCCTTATTTCTAATTTTTCCTCTAATCACTGCTTTTAAATCTGTGCAGATTTGAGAAGTTGGCCGAAAATTCGTTCACAGTTTTGCCAAACTGGCAAAACTGCTGCATTAAAATTTTCTCTGGATATAATTCAGGATATGCATCTGCCTTAAGTGGTCGCGTGGGTGAAGCACTGAAAGGACTTTTCGTATCCGGCGATAGCTTGTTGGTATCATTGGACGCAAATCATGATGCCGCATTAGATATAATTTCCGCCGTCCCATCAAGAAAGAAAGAAATCGTGGCGCTTCTCAAACTGCTCAAAAAGTTTTCTTGGGAATACATCTCCATTGTAGTTTCTGATCAAGTTGGTTTTAATTTATATCGTCATCGTTCTGACATTAAACGCAGAAAGAAGAGTAAATAACTTTAAAAATAAATTTGAAGACTTTATAACTCTGTAGTTTTTTGCCACATTCCTGTTTATTTCTTCTTAATTTGAAACTCTTCTTTGGACTACAGAAAAAGGGTGCTCTGAAAAAAGTGGTTGCGAGAACTATCAGAATGAAATAGGTCAGAATTTTTTCCAATATTTTAACTTTGATACCAGGAAAAAATTTCGTTATAACATCGGATTAAAATTCGTAAAAAGTTTGAAATTTTTAGCCAATATATTTTTATTGTTTTTTGCGGTTTTTTAAAACAATCATTTTTTGTCAAGAATCATACAGCTAAAGAAAGTGTTAACACCAAATTCTACAGAGTAATTCAAAACGGGTGGGAAAAATTAAATCCAAGCAACAGAAATGTTTTTTTATTGGGACATATGAAGACAAGAATGTAGAAACTAAGCTAATTAATGAACCTTTTCGAGGAATAATTTTTAGGAATGAAAAGCTATTTGGATGCATAGAAGATAATTTTTTTCAATCTTTATTTAAAGATAAATTTGAATTTCATCAATCTCTCAAAATCTATCATTGAAAGATGTCGGAACAACTAACATTCGCTTTTTAAATCACCTGCACTTTAGTGATAGAAACTGAAGAATTGATTGATATGTTGATTAAATACTATCAATTATTTACTAATTAAAATATTTTCTGTAGATTAAAAACAATGGCTCTTAACGGACAGATTTTTATTAAAAGATATTTCCTATAAAGAATTAACTGATAGCATTTCTGTTTTTGCTCATCGAACAATGCAGGCGGTATTGTGCTAGCTGTAAGTGGTAGAATTGGAAAAGATTAAACTTCACTTCATTTCAGGATGATTCATCATTGAGCACTTATCGACAGTTTGAAAAATTGGCTGGAGAAAATGGTATTTGCATAGCTGAAGTTAAAGCAGTAAATGGAGAAGAAGTAGATCCAACAACAACAGCTAATGTTACCATACTTTTCACAACTGCTTCCGACGCAGCTACATATTTCACCGCTAAACTCCGTAGAGGTTTCCTCTTTTAAATTTAGAATCAATTCCAACTTAAAATGCTTGCGATTGGTACAATCGGATAACAAAATTTGCAATATTTTTAAAAATTTTGATACTGTAATACATGTAAAAATCGAAATAAGCATATTCGGTGCAGATCTGATATTTTTGTATAGCTTACACAAATTATTTGAAGTCTTTCGTATGAATATCAATTGGTGATTTGTCTTGTTTGCAATTTATCAGTAAGACGGACAGCGGTATTGTCTAGCAAACTTAAATTTCTTTGCTTATCGTGTTTGGTTGCTATTTTCTGACTGATTAACTTCCAGCAAAAAAAAATCACAAAGTGCTCTAAGATGCTTATAGGCCGTTTGATCAATAAATGTTAAATTTTCTAGAAATTAAATGAAATAAAATTCAGAGAGATTAGAAATTCCATTTGTGGACGGAATTAACACTTCTGAGATTGCTTCATAAGTGAGTAGGGGAAACATTTTACCCTCTTCAAAAGTGTTTCATCTAATTTTAAAATTTTTACTAATCAACCAGAAAATTGAAAGTTATTTCAGAATCCCTTTATCCGCATGTTCATATTGTCAATGGAGATGCTCATGACTTTTACCTACATGACCCATTTAATGTTGCAAGATTTGTAGGCACCCTATCTTTGCAACCTAAGGTATATGATTTTGACTTTGTTAGTGCTAGGAAGAGACTTTCATTTAAATCTGATTATTTATTACCATTTTATGCTAAATACTAACATTTTGTCCATATTTACTATTACTTCTTGAAGTGTAAGGCAGAATTTCTTTGTTTTTTCTTTTCTCTGTCCTAATTTCAGGATGTAATATATGACGAATTTCGTGCTTGGCTAGAAAATATTACACCACTTAGCCTACCGGAAAAGTGGTACTGGGAATACGTTGAAAATCGATGGCAATGCGCTCTATCTGAAGCAAATCGAAACTTTTATGAAGGCAAAATGTGTACTGGTGATGAGTTATTAGATCTGCCAAGTTTAGGTATGTGAAATTGGCATCTTACAAATTAACATTTGTATTGTACAGTAAAAAAATCGATCAATACATTACTTTAAGCTATTTTTTGTATGAAAAGTTAACAAAGTTTTGTAATGATCTCTGGCATCCTTAAAATTACATTAATATATAAATATTTGTTTTCAGATAGAAAAATTCAGATCGATTTCTTATTGTCTCATGATTTTGATTTATAATTTCTGAAAAATGGTGTTTTAGGAAGGATGACGAAAAGCGGATACTTTGTACGTGGCTTGGAACGCTTCCTATTTGCGTTGGATGCTGTCTATAAGCAACTGTGCCCAGAACAAGTTGGTGTTTGTGACGAATTCTACATGAAAGGACGGGAACAAATTTCGAAAATTCTTAAAAAAGCACAGATTGAGCACGATTTTGTTATCTACGAATTTGTGCCAGACGGGGAAGGTAGGATAAACAGTTAAGAATTTCCCAACACGACATTTTAATTGTCATTAAATTTATGTTTATTTTATTTTTCTGCTTTTATTTGTTCTGAATGTTGAGAGTAGAGGAAACAAAATGCCTCACCTTTTTTAAAATCAATCAGCAATCATTCCCCAAAAAATTAGAGATTACTGTAAAGTTTCTTGTCATACGGCATCACATAATTGTGATACTGATTGAAATTTTAGGTGCATATGCTTACCAAAACATTGGAAACTACTCGGACAAAAGTGGCTTCAAATTTTCGAAACAATATCAATATTTCGGTGCCGTTGATCATGTATCGGATGGAGCATCACAACCAAAGTTTGTCATTATTCTTCAATTTTGTTGATTATATCACTCGTTAACAAATTTAGCTTTTCACTGATGTTTAAAATTTACCATCTTTGAAAATACTACACTTGCAGAATTATGTCACGATGCATTTCACCATTGTGCAGATGTTTCTTGAAGGTAAATTCGATGAAATTATCATCTCCGGTGATTGATGAATTCGGTACATTTGCCGGTTCGTACATTCGTCGCGTACCTACAAATGATGCTTTCCGACAGCTTCAATTTCCATCAGTTAATAAAAAAGTTTTTTGATAACTATTTTCAGGATTTTATTTTGAACTAATACTGAAGGAAAAGTAGAGAAAGTTAGTGTTTTATTTTTAACTTTGCATTTCTTGCATATGAAAAATACACAACAATCTTTTTTGCCATTATTCAAGTTAAATTAAATTTAAAAAAAATTTACAATAATGCAGATTTTGGATCAGTTAACAGCAGGCCAGTGGCGAGTGCAAACATGGAATTATGCACTAGCAGCAATAATAACTGTAATGTTGATCGGAGCGCTGGGAGTACTATTCCTAGCAATAATCAAATTGTACTTCCGAGTTATCAAAGGAAATCAATCATTGGGATTATCATTGCTTGTGGGTGTCATTGTCCTTTATATCACTGGATATGTTTTCATCTTTGAATCAACTGATACTGTTAGTTTTATCGTTTACTTCTTTCAAGTCCTCAATCATTTCAAAATTCAATTTTTCAACTACCATAAAACAAATCATTGAAGATTTGTCGACTTCGAATTGTATTGCATCCATTGGGTTATGCATTTTGTTTTGGAGTAATGATTGCCAAAGCAACACAATTAAAAAATGCTGAATCATTGGGATTTTCTGATGCTATTCACATTAGCTATTGGAACTATTGGCTTTTATTGCTATTCATAATGGGCGTTCAAATTGCACTTTCTTCAAAGTAAGAATTAATTTTTTGCAAAACTTTTAAGTTACAAATACGTAATAGTGATGACAAGTGAGTTACTGGTGAAATTTATTCAAAAATTAAGCTATAATTTGTATTTTTACTATTTGTTTTAGGTGGCTAACAGAAGAATTTGCATCAGTAGTAGTATTGGATGATGGACAATCACGCTCAGTTTGTAAATATGGTGATGACGAATTCCTGTTATCACAGGCTTATGTTATTATACTTCTATTCTTGGCACTCTGTCTTAATAGCACTAATAAAAATATCAAACGCAATCACAAAGTAAATATTTGGAATAATTACTATTTTCAAGAGCCAACTACAAATAATTATGATAAATTTTATTTTTTTCCAATGTATTAGAAAAATTAACCCTTTATGGGCTTTACAGGAAACAAAGTGGCTGTTCATATCATCACTAAGTTGTGTCATTCTATGGATTATTTGGATGACTGTTTATATTTTAATTCCTTCACCATATAAGGTTTATTCTTCTAAAATCATATCTCATTTTTCTTTTTTTCAATATGGCTTTTGTTAGAGGCAAATTTTTGAATTCAAAACTGAACTGAAAATTATTATGCAGGATACGGTTGTTGTTTTTGAGCTACTTTTATGCGCATCCGTTTTACTTGGATTTATTTTCGGTCCAAAGATTTATATAATGCTGTCATATGAACCAGTAGTTGTCGAGGTGCGTCCGCAAAATGTGATGAAAGATTTTGTTATCGATAACGATTTGTTTGAAAAAGGTAGAGCTTTACTGGATTATTGTAAAATTCTGCAGAAAAGATGAAATAAAACAGGGACAAATATTATGCAAATTTTTTAAAATCAAAGATTAAATTATAAATTTTAATGTAGATCTGTTAAATGAGTAATTTTAAGGTTTGCTATTAGTGAAAAGATTTCTGAAGAAACATTTTTGATTAAAATAAATTATTTTTATCCAATTTTCTAGATTCTCTAAGAGAAAACATCAAAATTTTGGAAAATTAATGCTTGCAATGCAATTGCAGAGGAAAACTCGGAACGGACCTCCTCGCCATCGAATAGCTTAGAATCACGGAAAAGTCACATTCATTCAACTTGCAGTGTAGTAAACTGCAAAAATTCACCAGCATGCACAAGAGCTGATTATAATGATGATGATCAGGTTTTTTTGAAATTTCTTAAAGAAACTAAAAAAAATAGAACCAATCGCAATAAATCTATTCGCAATTTCAGCCAATTTTTAATTCAAAATTTTTATTCATTACACTTCTCATTGAAAATTTTTAGATTCCAATATTTCGCACCATAATGCGAAAGAAGAATCATGTGGGACGCTCGCATTCTGCAGACAGACAAAGAAGTGTTGGTAGAATAATTCAACAGACAGTGGCGCCAACCAAAATGCTTGGCAATAATACAAAAGATGGAAATAGAGATGAAGCTGATCAACAAAGAGCTATACCGGATCCGATAACACAGATGGAAGACAATCACTGAAGCTTAATTATTTCAAATGTACCTGAACTTCGGACCGACCTTTCATTTCCATGAATCCTATCTAAAATGCTTGTTGACCATTAACAATATCAAGTAATCTCTATAAAACAATGTCATCCGGGATATTCCTTCAGACATAGATTGTTTTACTGAAATAGAAATGAAAGTTTGAAATAGAAATGAAATGACATTGACTTTTTTAATTTGCAGAAAATTTTTAAGCCTTATAAATGTTTGAAAATTGCAGAAGGAAATGCCCGTTCTTATTTCAGGATGTAAAATGAGTAAAAAAACAGTTCATCTTCAACAGTAAATTTTATGATAAAAAATTTGAAGAATGGTTATTTTTCTAACCAATGACGGTATCACCACAGTTTACTAAAGTTTGTCCAATAATACTGATATGATATGATATTTGCGGTTCGCAAAAATTTATGATTATTAATTATATTTTTGTTTCCGTTCAACTTTGCCTGTATATTTTTGTACCTTTGTTTTATTTTTAAATATTGCCTACTTATTTGGATGAAAATATATATTGTACCTTGGGAAGATTTGAAAATGAAAAGGATTTAAAAGTGTAACCTAGCAATTCTTACGTCATTCGTTGAAATATCTATTCTTTATTTACCTTTTCAACTATTTACTATTTTCTAAACCCCTATTGAGAGACAGAGCTCATATATCGAGGAATGTTAAACCTTCGCAGATAAACCTCCTGTATTCCATGTCCTCTTATAAAAATCAATGTTTACATAAATATCAATACGACAATTTCGGTATTTAGTATCATTGACTTCATGTACATGTAAAATGCATAAATTTATTTAATATTTTCTAAGTCTTTCAAATTCGAATCGTTAAGAAAGGCCAAAATAGCTTCTGGCTATTAAATAATTGTATCTGTGGATCACTGCTAATTCAAAAAGAAAAATTTCCAAAAAATTTTCTGATCTTATAAATATTAAAATGAAAAATTCCGATATAAGGTTTGAGGAAACCTTTCCAGATAGCTATAACTTTCGACACTTGCATTTTCCGTTTTTTGCAATAAACAGGCCATTGCCATTACCATCTTGGCAAAAGGAAGGCTTTTATTATCAAAATTAATTTAATTCGAAATAAAATAGTGCGTTTAATTTAACTGAATAAATTTTTACTCAAAACAATTTACTACAGCTTAACAGTACTCTAAAATTCTTCTTTGGCAAATCCGATAAAAATCATTACTGCTGCCTTTATTGATTATTGCAATCACTACGCCTAATGCAATAGTTCACTTAAAGTGCAAAAAACTATACTTTTTATATTAATTAGGAACATCTTAATAAATATGCATAAACTTGTAAAAATTTAAAATGATAAAGAAAAGGAAACTCAATTTGTAACGATAAGAAAGGTGTGATCATAAAAACTCCTTAATTTCTAATTTTAATTGAAAAAAATAATAGGAATTTCATTACTAAATGCATAATTTTTCTTTTTTGATATTGAAACAGATAGGAATTTTTATTTAATAATAAATATTTCATAGAAGCAGCAATAAATATAACGGTTATTATTATGAAACAATTATCATTACAAGTAAAACTTGTTAGTTTTTATTATTTAAGCATGTCACGTTAATTGGTGTCTAATGCATCCATAACGGTCAAGCTTACGTTCCATTTAAAACTGATAGAAATTGATGACTTTTTTGCTGTCAGCAGTATATAAAATTGATATTTCTAAAGCTCTCGTGATTTTCAATATTATTTGGACAATTTTAATAAACTTTTAAAAATATAGGTTCAATTTATTCTCATAAATATGAAAAAGCAATAAGACAGAAGGAAAGCATATAAAATATTATAAGTTCTGAACATTATATCGTGAAACTAAACAAGGCCTATCCCTGAATTGGTGATTGTTCATTTATTGTTGAATTTGATGGTTTAGTTTCTGTTTTGATCACGTTGGCTACCATTTTGATTGGAATTGTCCTCGCCATACCATCATTCTAAAAATTCACATTGTGTCACGCATAATCTGGAAAAACGATTGTATTTATAGATGATCTGTTTTTTAAAATTACATTATAGTTTGACCATAAAACAAACCTTTAGACGTGGGGCAGTTGCAGTAACACTAAGATATCCATCTGCAGTAAGATTGCTGGTAACTGCATCTGCTGGCACACTCGAAGGTAGCGGAAACTTCCTGAATGCATGCAAAATGTAAAATCTACTACACTATGTATATTTCCTTTTCCTTTTTTGATTTTCAAAAAATCTTTCGGTGGAAAATGGACCTAATTAGAAGTCGTTCCACAAGGCCAAATTCATCCTCTCGTTCAACATGTCTTGCTTCGATGATTATGTAAGAATTTGCCACTGATACCTGAATTTTGATTGAGTTAATGGCTTTGTTACCTATTTGAATTTCATTACATTCAATTTTTAAATCTTTTTTTTTTCAAAACCTATTAGTTTTAGTTCAAATCTAATAATACGAATGTTGCTTGCTCTAGGTAGCTTCAGATCTATCAGCTATCAAAAACAGAAAGATCAGCGATAAAAAAAAGAAAAAAGAGATAGAAAAATGACGCAATTCATTTCATATGAAGTGAAAGAGCAAAATAACTTTAATTTTATAAACGTAAATAAAAAATTCAGGAGCAAAATCCAATTTTAAAATAATTTTAGTTTTAGCTTCATTATTTTTTGCCAAATGTTTTGTAAGCTGTGATTAATGAAAAAATAAACAAAATGGATATGAAGTTTTTGACTTTCCTATTTCTGTAATTTAGATTATAGCTTCCTCTGAATTCAATGTGCTACATTCTATTCGAATTTACACACCATATTGGCGTACGCACATTCATTTTTGGAAGAATAAAAAGGAAAGAGAAGGGGAAAATCTTTTTTCGATTGAAAATCCTGTGTGTTACTATGGATACAAAGAAAAAAGCCTGCAGTAAAGACGACGTATTGAGATATGAGGATCAGTTTTGAAACTATAACAAATTTAATGGTCACCAACGGTAAATTTTTTAAATACAACATTTTTAATCAACTTTTAAAACATTTCTAAAACAGAACATACTTTTAAATCTTCCGGTCTAAATTGTGATAAATCCATTTGCACATAAAATGAATCGTCACTCTGCTGATGGGATGTTATCAGGCCTGTTCCAGCAGCTGATGTATTCATCGATGTTAGTGTGACAGGTGGTGACTGTAAACTGATTTCATTTATCTTCTTTCATTAATTTTTGGGAATTTTTTAATGAACTATAACATCACATTTGTTAAGCATTTGCTAAGAGTTAAGAAAATTTTGTTCGAGTCAGATTTGTAATTTATTTCCTCAAGAAGAAATTATGTTGTGAGAAGAGTTCAACCTTGTTGAGATCTTCGAAAAGTTGAAATTAAAATTTTTCTTAACAAAGCAAGTATTAATTTTCTGGAAAAATGGAATGAAATTTGAAAAGTTTGATACTAGACTGTAAACAAAAATCAGCACTTGATAGCTGGAGGTGGACACGTGCAGTGGTGATCCCATAGTGGACACATGTAAAGGTGAGTCTATACCGGTGATTTTTGGGCCTTGTTCAATAATCCGTTTTTCATATGTTCGATTATAAGATGATGTTCGATTGTACGCTGATGTGGATGACATTATTTCTGATTTTTTCCTAAACACAGTAAAGAATAAAGAATAATTTTTTCCACAGATTTACTCTGAATCTCCCAAGACTCTTGACGAACTTATGGTTGGAAAAATCTTGTGAATCTGCATCATTATTTTTTACAAAACTTTAAAATATAGAATCATCAATATATTTAATTCATTTAATATTGAATATAAGAAACTGTTTCATTTCAAGATAATGAAGATCATTTCATCAATTTCCAGTTTATTCTAACTAACAATTTCTTATTACAATTTTTCGACTCCTTGTCCAGAGAGTGCGAAGACATCACAACAAATTATCATATCATCATATTCAGTAATTTTAGTGCATTTTAATTTCATTTTGCTTTTCACATCACCCTTTCAAATTAGGGTTTGTTGTTAAATCAAATGGATCGTACTTTTATGAAATTTAAATAGGAATTGCTTTTTGATTATTGTTACAAGTGGAAAAGAAATTTTCCAAAATAAATATTATAGAAAAAAATGATCAATATGCATGAAAATAAACTAAAGGATTCAGAGAGACAAGCACCATAGTATTTTTTAATTTAATTTCGTAATATGATATCATATAATGACAAACGTGAGCAAACGTTTATTAGACAATAAATGAAAGCACATAAAAGAAAAAATAAATGAACGGAATTAAGATGTGAACAATCAACCGAAAGAAATCGCATTATAGATTTTATTTCAAACACAGATTTATAGTCTTCAAAAATGGAATCAATGAAAAATGATAAATTTGAGAAGTGAAGTAGTGCTTAGCTTTCAATTCATTACTAAGAATAATGGAATTTATTTGGTCATTAAAACTTCCTCTTGCTCATATTATTTTTGATTTTAAATAAGTAGTTTATCGCAAATGTCCAATTGTCGGATATATGCAGACTTTAGATTAGTTTAAACCGGTGCCCTCAAACATCATGAAGCAAATAAAAAAATGAATTAGATCTAACTGTTGGAAATTGCATCCATCGATTGAATTTGATAGCTCCTCCCAAGTTCCATTTTAATCTTACTTGCAGTAAACAAAAATTGATAGCGATGTTGCAACCAAAAAAAAGAAACAAAGCCTAAGGATTTAGATATGGCAAATTCCTCGCATAGCATGGATGCCAAAAGAAGTAACAGTTGAAGGAAGAATATCGAAAATTTCATAATACTGAAGAAAGAAGATGAAGATAAATGCTCTTAATGTATAATCAATCAGACCCAATTTTAATAACCATTTTTCTTAGTGCTATTAAAATTTATTAATAATTTTTGTGGTTTCAAAAAATTCCATCTTAATGCGTAAAAAAGCTTTTACAAATTTGGGCAGATTATTCCTTCCTTTCACATAAATCATATAAACTTGTGATTATAATTTATCAGCCTCATCCAAAATAAATAAAAAGTTTATTTTGAACCAACTTTAAGAGCAAAAATCAACTTACTAATAGTCTTGCGTGAAAGAAAACAATGCAAATGTCTTCAAAGTCTGCTTCATTCAATCGTCATTTGTCTTTCTCTTGTCTGCTTCCTTTCTCAAAAAATTACTAAATTTATACCAAGTTTTTTTTCCGATCTCATCTCGTTAAAAGTCTACTTTAGAAATCAAATAATTTTTTTAACTATTGCAATCAATTGTTATGAAAACGAGTGATTAAACTAACTTACACGTGAATTTAATTAGTTTGAAGGTTGTTTTTTTGAGAAAATAGAAAAAGAAGAGAATAAAAACACAAATTCCAATAACTTCAAGTAACTTTCTTACATGGTTTCAAATAAAATTAAGCAACAACTGATTTAGGTATGAAGCTGTTGAGATATGAAGCAATCAAGGTATAACGCTATATGTCTTTATATTCACTTCAATTTTTTACTCCTTTAGTAGATTTATTAAAATGATAAGTGATGAAGGAGAAGAAAATTTGTAAGAGATGAAATAGTAAATTATGTATTGCTTTCTTATTTTCTCTTCTATTTCCATAATCAAAAATTTCTCATTAAAAAATATTACAATGAATATAATATCCGTGATTGAAATCCCTGTTGGGATCCATCTCTGGATTTCTCAAACTTCTTCACCACAATGAAAATTCATATTCTTCGAGGGTTTTAAATAATTTAAAAGAGCATTTGAAATTCTTGACATATTTTGATAACACTATAATACAATCAAAATTCGAATTGACAAGATTATTTGGACATTAACATCATTATAAGATAATCAGCGAAAACTTCAAAATGACCAATTATCCGAAACTTCTTTAAAAATAAAAGTCACAAACAGTAAATTTCGTTCTAAATATATCGCGAAAGCATTTTCAAAAATCATGCATTATAAAATTCTTCCAATTTATCTTAAAACAAGTCGAAAACTTCACCAATTAGGAGCAGTTAAAGTGATTATTTGAAGCAATTTGAATACTTGGAAATTAAAGTATTCTGATTCAACACTTCTAGTTTCACCCTTTCCAACTTTAACTTCGCTTCGGAAGACAATTCCGTACATTATTTCTGGAATTCTGTAGAATATATGAAGGAGAATGAAAGATTTAACAAATCTATCCATGGAGAGAAACTGCAAGATATTCTCATTTCCAATTTATTTTAGAAATTAAGGACAAAGGTTAAACATGTATTCGAAGCATTATAAAAAGAGGTAACTGTAGAAGTGGTTCAGAAGCTAAAGGTGGATGAAGTTGGCCGAGCAGATGAAGCTGATATTTTAGTGGTTCAGTTAGAAGTGGAATGCATTGTGTAAAGAGAAAGAACAAGAAGTGGCTGTAGCAACTGCATAAGTTCGATCTTTCAATGCTTTTTAATTGTGCTTCTTCTCCTTTATCCAACTAGAAGAGGGCTTGCCCAACAAAATACAGTCTTAAAAGCTTTTTTTGAACTAGTCAGTTTGAAATAGTTCAATCCACCCTTGTGCGCTCACTACCTACGCATTTGCACAAGCAGACAACTCGTTCATAATTCAAAATCCTCAGAATGTTAGAGTAGCGGAGAAATTCGAACTTTGAGATAGGCTTATCTATCATCGTGCACTTCGAATATTTAAACAATGAATCACTGGATGACGAGAGGATGTAATCTGAACTCCAGCAGAATGGGAGTTTCTTGCAACGTTAGTATTCCACAGACATAACTATAATTTCAACTGCTAAATTCAACCCACACTATATTTAAATCCTTCAGAGATTTTGGATTCAAGTGATTTAAACAAACTTTTAATTATTTCAAACCAAACTTGCGAATTCCTCGTCAGTTAAAAAAAATTAGCCATCTATGGGAAAGAAATAGCAGTAAACCGTCAAAAACAATCCTCCCGACAAACTACAATAAACCAAAAAAGTTATGCCATTCACAAATCAACTAAAATAAGCTAGAACACATCCCATTAGATAGTTCATTTGATCATCGAACCTTTCACCAGAAAAAGGTAGGAATTTCCTTCCTTTCAAAGTTAATTAAAGTAGAAATTTGTACATTCCAAAACAGAAACATTAGAGAGAGTTATACTTTCTTATATTGATGGAGTATAAAAAGGCATCAACCTACAGCGTACTCCGCATCCACGCCAAGATGCAGAAAAGTGGTGCCGATATTCGGCAAATTTTTAACTAATTTCATGTGATTGATTTATGACTTGTACTTTTCATCTCAACGCATTCAGAGAGGGCGTCACTCACTTATATGTAAAAAAGGGAAGTTTTATTCATTCCAAATTTAGCAACTTGGAATGAGAAATATGCTGAATGACAATGCACTTTTTCAATAGGTTTGTTTTTGCAACCACTACATACTTATCCGGAACTACCAAATATTTTCATTTATTTTCAGGGAAAATCAGTTATCATTAATTAATACAAGTAGCTTTCCTGAAATAAAAGAATCACAAGTGCGAAAGTATCACAAAAATTAAGGATCATTTTCATGTAATTTATACACTAGTGCCCTCTTACTCAGCGGGAATCCTGGAAATTCGGGAGATTTCGCTTTCTTTCACTTTTCTGTTCGGATAACTGTTGGCCACAGAAATTATGGTATAGGTATCAACACCGTCTTGCAATCTACTTGAAAAGCAAAAAAAGACGGAACTTATACCTTCATCATTCAAAGACATTGAAAGTGATAGAGAATTTTAGTGGAAAAAGATGTGAGAATGGGAAAAAAAGAAAGAAAAAAGGAAAATAAATTAAATATATGATACAAGGAATTTAAAATCTTACTATAAACAAAGCTGTGAAAACTTACATATCCTTTCATCCTGATAACTCAACTTCGAATAAATGCAAATGCTGAATTTTTCATATACGGATGGCAAGAAATAGATGAAATTCAAATTACTTATAAATTTCATACACGAATGGTAATGCTGCTTTTTAACTGGCGGCCAAAATTTGGAACTTCTTTTCCTTTACAAACCTTGAAAAAAAATCAAACTTAAAATATAATATCAGTTTCAAACTTTTCATTACTCATTTTTTCCTTTTTTGAACAAGCAATAGCATTCGAGTAAAAAATCTGATAAAGAATGATAAAGTATGAAAGTTTCTGTCGGCTCATTGCTATAAATACCCCCGACATTGAAAGGGTTTTTTCCACCTACCCATAGATATAGCCAAGTCATAGCAAAGGGTTACTCAAATATACACAGTAATGCTACTGTAAGTAACACTGCCAAACTGCATGAACAGACAATTATAAGGGGATAAACTACAGCGTGCGCTGACAGTAACATCTGGACTTCATAATTTTATGTATAGAATGAAATATTTTTGAAAATTCACCCAAAATATTTCATTACATCAGAAGTGAAAAAGGACTAAGGCACCATCATTAGAAAATACGATGTGTAAATTATATGCAGTCAACGATAATACTTTCCATATTATTGTATACACTCTTATTATAAATGATTGCAGTCTCGGGTTTTAAGAATGTCTATTACGAAGGATGTCCATTTTTTTTCTCTTCACCAGATCCAATTCTGCTGTAGAATGTAGGCTGAAAGGATCACGAAATTTGAGTGAATATTTAAGATTATGTTAGATAAAGAAAAATTCTGCACCTAAATTAAAAATGGACAAAAATCACTGAGATTCCATTATCCTAGGGAAAAGCATATTGCCATAAAAAACCTGCAAGTCGTAAGTGACACTTTTATCTTCATCATCTGAATCACTTGATCCATCATTTAATATGCCCGGTCCAGAAGAATCCGCATTTGAGCGTCCAGAATCTTTCGAAACAAATTTCGCGAAGCACTTAATTAAACAATTAATCAAGATTTCAACACAAAAGAAAAGCATGAATCGTGAAAGAAAAAACTAACAGTGTCACAAACGCGGACAGGCCTTTTGCTCACAGGAATACGATAACTGTGTGAAGAGCACGTACCGCAAACGACATTACCACAAGCCCGACAGTGATGCTGAAAAGGCACCAAATTGTAATGGATTACTTAAACTTAAATTTACTGGAATTCGTCCACTTCTTTACCCTATCCCATCTTTAAGCCATCGATTTATTTTAAAATTTTTGATAATTTTTAATTCTCCATTCATCCTCTACTGGAAACAAGTCTTGTACTACAGGCACTATTTGATTGGGCATAAGTTTCAAATAGATAAAATTTAAAAATAGAAATTTGAAAGTATAAAGATGAAAGGTTTTTACTATTATACTTATTTGTCAGAGAAAAGTTGGTATTTGAAAGCCTTGGGATTGCATAAGTATGCGATCCAAACTAAACGGTCAGGTGGCGTACTGCCTTCTGTTTGCTCGTAGTAGAAGTGACATTATTACACAATAAATATTCCAGTACATGATAGCATCATTTTTCCTTTTCAGAAAGTAAGAATTTTGGAAAAAAAATCTTGCATCAAGAGGCTACTACATTGAAACCGGATTAGTGAAGACACACCCTGCGCTGTATCACGGTGAACTGTGTCCTCTGGCAAGCCATGCATTTAGTTGCTTCACCATCAGGCACCCAAACGGCTGCATGCTCAGTTGCGGGTTTTTTTCCACCTAGAACAATTTAAGGCTTAACAATTTAGCACGACTGGTTTAGTACGAACCGCACTAACGTTTATTGAACAAAATTCAACTTTTCAAATCAGTCAGTCAGTTGAGTTGAATAAATAAAATGTGAAAAGATATCGAACAATACGATACCTCTGGTAAGAATATCGTGTACGCAACGCTCAATGTGTAAAATCCATTCCTTCTTCTCTGTACTTGTTGCTGCGAAAACAGCAAACGACTTCAATCTCGTCTTAATAAGCCAACCATTCTTCATATCTTAATATAAATTCTATTGAAAATTTTCATACACAATAACTGCAAATCAAACATTAATTTGCATAAATAATATTTAAATCTCTGAAACCTATGTTGGCCATCGCTCCTATACCTTAAAAAATCCATAAGACACCTTCATTAATAAGGAAACATTTTTCGGTGCTTAGGGTGAAGCATTTGGCTAAGCAGAAAAGGAAAAAAAATTCACATTACCTCCCTCATCTTCAAGATCTTGCAACTGTACTTCTTCCAGCGGAATTACATGCTGTTTGTTGTAACGTTTTTTTGAAATTAAAATATTTCCATAGACCAAAATATCGTTGAAAAGAAAAAACTGGCGCGGTTTAGGTTTCTTTCTAAAAACAATTACGATTGGCGACCTTCAGTTACGAATAAAATTTGTCGGGAACTTTCGATAATTGCATTTACCTACACATTTTCACCAGTACTCCTTCGCCGACCAAAACTCGTCCATAAGCTGCTAACTGTTGACCGGTACTTCCGAAACAAGCCTCAACATTTAAAATACGGCGAGTATTTACTTCACTGTTCACTGCAAAATAAATTACTGTTTTAAGTAAGTGGCAAGTAAACAAAATTTACAAGATTTTAGTTAGGAAGTAGTCATATAAAGAGACATAGTTAGAAAATGTTTGTTTAGCAATTAAGCTAAGGTTTTGCGGTATATGACTGAAAGTGATTCTAAATATATTAAATTATTCTAAATAACGGTCTAGCTTATATAAGAACTTCAGTATTCACATTTAAACTGCTATTTTACCAGTTTTTTGTTGCCAGAATTGATAATCTTTTTTCTTTTAAAGTTACTTCACATTCGAACAACACGTTCCATTCTTTACCAAATATGATCAGATTAAGAATTATTCTCCCTCCCAAACAGACAGTGTTGTTCCTTTCTATTTCACTTCCATTTGTTGCAAATTTATGAGAAAAACTGGAAGAAATATGAAGCACTGGATTAGAAGCTATAAAAACAAACCTAAACGGTCGACCATTGTTTGTTTCAACTAAGTCTTCAGTATATAATTCAAACCTGTAAATACCTTCAATACTTATTATATCAATTCTTCAAAACTAGCAAAAATTAGCGCATCAACTACGAGCATTACGATAAAAGACCCGGCGAAGCCTGAGACAAATCGATAATCATGAAAACTATCCGCAATACAACTGAATTTTTCTGAAAGCAGCCAACCAAACATCACAATATCATACTTTCCAATCAATCATATATCCTGTCTTCCTTACTTTCCACCTTAGTAAAAGAAACTGTCCGCCACCTACGCCAGCAAACACCTGCACCACGAGGTACTCGACTCACCAATACCGCAAAACCACGTACTGCCATATCTGTTACATGGGATGCACTGTCTTACAGTCACTCTTCTTCTTCCTGTTTCTACAACCCATAAACGCATACACGCATTTCGTGTGTCTGGCAACTCGCCCTTGAACCCATCACGTAGCAACGTATTTTGACGTCATTGCTGTTTTACTGTGACATTCCCAGTCCTTCCCCACTGGGTGCCGTTATTGTCGTCGGTGGTTGAGTTGATATTGTCTCGATCACTCGGTAGCGGTATTGTCTCTTCTTTTATTCAGTAATTATAAACACGATATATATCAATCCCTTGTAACGTTACCCCGAATCTTATTACTTCCTCATCTGCTGTTATTTACATACTCTTAACCCCCTTTTATTACTTATTCTGCAATGACACCGAGTAGTACCATTCGTTATCCTCTAATCCAAATGACACTTCCACGGAAATCCAAAATGCATCACTTCCACGCCAAACTTTAATGGCGGTGATGCCATTAAAGAAGCGGAATCTGTGCGTCTTCTGTCCTCCTTTGAGGAAGATACAGCGGAGGAGACGTGATATGAATCTGCTGAGATCCAACGTTTTCATTTGAAGATGTTGGTTTGTCTTTCTGACGTTCGGAATGTCGGCTGTGGTGAGATGAGGGGTATGTTGCGGAGGGAGGGTGAGGAGACTGGATTTTTTGACGTACATTTCGAAGAGATTTATTACATTAGTTTCTGAAGTGTCATGGAAATTTAATGGTTGTTTGATTTTTTTGGCATTCTTGTTATTGATTGTTTTTCTTTTAAAATAACTAGGAAATTTTCATTCCTCACGATGTCTATGAGGTTCAGTTAGACAGAAACATGCGCAGTATCGGGGAATTATTTCAATGTACAAACAAATAATCAATTGTAATTTCCTGGAAGTATGCCTTTACGATTGGATGTGAAAAAGAAATTGTTGGCTAGATCAGATCGTGTCAAGTGTGTTGATTTACATCCAACCGAAACATGGATGCTTGTGGCGCTTTACAACGGCAACGTTCATGTCTGGAATTACGAAAATCAGCAGCTTGTGAAATCTTTCGAGGTTTTTTCTTTAACAATTTCCAAAGTTTCCATATTTGGAGAACTGAGCAAATTCTACGAATCTAATGTTTTAAAATTCATAAATTGTATGATTTAACGTGATCTGTTTTAACCTTTACAGTTTCCACCTTCTTTAGAAAATTACGCTGTAGATATCCTGTTCTTTATACATGCACTTCACGGGGTTGAGATACCCAATATGGCTTAATTTTGTATAGTGTTTCTGTTTTGCTTATGAAACTTACTTAGCAGGTCTGCGAACTACCAGTGCGATGCGCGAAATTTATTCCGCGCAAAAATTGGATAATAACAGGATCGGATGATATGCATGTCCGTGTTTTTAATTACAATACTCTGGAACGAGTACATCAGTTTGAAGCACACTCCGATTACTTGCGCTCCATCGCTGTCCACCCATCGCAATCTTTCATTTTGACCTCTAGTGATGATATGCTTATCAAACTTTGGGATTGGGATAATAAATGGAGTGTGAAGCAAACTTTTGAAGGTCATTTTCGTAATTTCATGTTTTTAAAGATGAAAAATTTTCAATGTTGCTTTCCTGACGTATTAGCTTAATTCATTGCTCCCACTAATTTATTTCAGGTCATACTCATTATGTAATGCAGTTGGTTATTAATCCAAAAGACAACAATACTTTTGCAACTGCCTCACTTGACAAGACAGTGAAAGTTTGGCAGTTTGGTAGTTTTACAGCAAATTTCACTTTGGAAGGTCATGAAAAAGGTGTGAATTGTGTTGATTATTATCATGGTGGTGATAGACCATATCTAATTTCGGGTGCAGACGATCGTCTTGTTAAAATATGGGATTACCAAAATAAAACATGTGTTGCTACTCTGGATGGGCATGCACAGAATGTATCAGCGGTCTGCTTCCATCCTGAATTACCGGTTATTATCACTGGTTCAGAAGATTCGACAGTTAGGCTGTGGCATGCCAGTACGTATAGGTACGTTACAATATCCATTGTATTTCTATGTATCGTGATATAAAATTAATTTTATGTTTTTGTGAGCAATTTCATGTTTGTATAGGTTGGAGACGACTCTCAATTATGGTCTTGAACGTGTTTGGTGCATTCACGCCTTGCGAGGTTCAAATACAATTGCTATTGGCTATGATGAAGGTTCGGTAACAGTAAAATTGGGTAGGGAAGAACCAGCTGTTAGTATGGATTCAGGTGGAAAGATTTTATGGGCTAAGCATTCCGAATTGCAGCAAGCTAATTTGAAAACACTTGATGCCGCCACGTTAGAACAAATACAAGGTTGTCTCAGTTTGTTCGGAAATTTATACTTTTCAACTAAATTTGCTTAAAGCAAACTATAATTTTATCGATGTGTTTTCTCGTTTTGTCTCTCCAGCTACCATTCTTTGTCCTTGATTTTTTTTCCAGTTGGGGTCCTGACATTTCGTCGGCGGTTCTCTCGAAATCACTGCGGATACTCTCCAACAATTTGCTTCGTCCACGTTTTTTTAACTTCTGGCATGTAAACGTGATTCCTTCCGGATTTTTTTTTTTGATTTTTCGTTTTTATTACAGATGGTGAGCGTATTTCACTGTCAGTAAAAGATGTAGGTTCATGCGAAATATACCCCCAAACATTGGCTCATAACTCTAACGGACGTTATGTAGTTGCTTGTGGTGATGGTGAATACATTGTTTATACTGCGATGGCTTTGCGTAACAAGGTATTTCAAAGAATATGTCTTTTATATTTGATGTAAATTTGTTTCAGGAAAAGTTTTAGTTACTGACAGCTTAACCACGATGTAGGTGGTAAGGTTGGCTAGAAAATTCACGTTAACAAGTCCGTGAGCATCACTTTTTGAGTGTATTCTGAAAGCTAAATTGTCAACGTCTCTGTGGTTTGGTTTCTCTCATACATGACACAGTTATCTTGTCAATATGAAGGTTTCAATATTCCAGGCTTTTGGTTCTGGTTTAGAATTTGTGTGGAGTACTGATCCTTCAGAATATGCAGTCCGTGAATCAGCATCGAGCATTAAAATTTTCAAGAATTTCAAGGTTTACTTTATTTTTAAGTGCATAATGGTATGCTTTATCTTTTGCTATTCTAATAAGTATTAATGATTTGTAGGAGGTACGCACGTTACGTCCTGATGTGATTATGGAAGGCATAGAAGGTGGACCACTAATTGCTGCTCGTTCTGTGAATGCCTTATGCTTTTTTGATTGGGAGACAGGATCTTTGATCCGTAGAATAGAAATATCAGCCAAACACGTTTATTGGTCGGACAGCGCTGAAATGGTATACTTTAAAACAGTCTATTTTAGATGGTTTGCTATGCCTAGTTTTTTTTTTTCGATTTTAATTACAATAAAAAAATGATATTGGATTTCTTTCATACGAAGAAGTACAACATATTGTAGGTCGCAATTGCTAGTGACGATACGTTTTACATATTGAAATATAATAAGGAAGCGGTAGAAAATGTAACAGCAACTGATATTGATGGCATCGAGGATGCTTTCGACGTCATTGGTATGCAGATCTTTGTAAGGAACAGCCCACATTCTTCTATTTTTTACATTATTCTCAGCCATATCGCTTTCAAATTTTTGATACTGCTTCTTATATCACATTTCATCACTATGTGGTGTGTCCTATAAGGTTTTTTTGCTCACAGTGAATACTCGGCATAGGAGTTACCTTTGGAAAAATGAAAATGGATTTAGTCTGGTAGAAACTTTTGGTACTTATAAACTTTGTGGAGCTAATATGTTAATAATTTTTGATTCTTCCAGGTGAAGTACAGGAAAGTGTCAAGACAGCAATATGGATTGGTGATTGCTTCATATTTACGACTGACTTAAATCGACTGAATTATTATGTCGGAGGAGAAATAGTCACTATTGCTCATATGGATCGTCCTCTCTATTTAGTGAGTTGAATCTTTCACTCATTTATTCCCCTGTTATGTTAATGGTAAATGCTAAAATCATTAACCATTAACATAATAGGGGAATAAAAGCAGAAATGTGTCATTTTCTTCTTTAGTTATTCAGCAAAGTTTGGAAGAAAACATTTTAACCTCATAGCTTTTTTTTGTGAAATCCAGAATATTTTCCAGTCTATTCGTTTTTTCATAGTTTTAGCTGGGTTATACTCCAAAGGAAAGCAGGCTATACTTGTGTGACAAAGACCATAACTTCGTCTCCTATCGTTTGTTGTTATCAGTTCTCGAGTATCAAACTGCAGTTATGCGTAGAGATTTTGACACAGCAAATACTGTAAGTTTTTTGAAAATTGGCAGTTTAAATCCCGAAAGTCGTTATTATGTTCGTTTTGCCGGAATTTAGAAACTTAATTTCGAATTCTGGATTCGAAATATTTTACCATAAGCAGTAGCAAATTTTGAAGATGTTACCCGTAATACCACGTGATCATCGAACTCGTGTAGCGCATTTCCTCGAGAAACAAGGATTCAAAAAGCAAGCTCTGGTAGTTAGTCAAGATCCAGACCATCGCTTTGAGCTTGCTCTCTCCCTTGGAGATTTAAAACTGGCATATGATCTTGCCGTAACTGCTGATTCGGAAGAAAAGTGGCGACAGCTTTCTCAAGCAGCTACACTGAAGAGTGAACTTATGTTGGCCGGGGAATGTCTTGGTCGGGCCCGTGATTATGGTGGATTATTACTGTTGGCTACATCTGCCGGATCAGCTGCATTAGTAAGTATTTCTGGTGGGATTTGTACATTAAACCAGTTATATATTTAAATATCTACTTATATGGATTACCGTTGTTTGACGCCATCTGTCTGCTGGTTGTTATATTTAATAAGAAAAGAAAATATTTGGAAGATGAGCCAAACGAGAAAGCGTGAAATAAGGTATGGCATATCAACTTGCTCTTTCGCTCAACTGTAGCAACTGAAAAACAAGCAGAAACTTCACTAACAATTTTTTCTCTTTTTTAGTTATCTAAGTTGGCATCCGATGCACAACTTTCAACGCAGCATAACTCATCTTTTCTTTCATACCTTCTGCTCGGCGACTTGGATAAATGTTTGGAAATTTTGATTTCGACCGACCGCCTTCCGGAGGCTACGTTTTTTGCACGTACATATTGTCCATCTCAGGTTAGTGTAAGCACATTTAACATCAATATAGTACCCCTTTTCATTGCTTCTTTTCTTGTTTTTAAACAGGACCATGTTCTCTATTTTTCGGAAATTTCGTTTTCAACTGGGAATTTCATATTACAGGTTGATCGCGTTGTGTCATTATGGAAAGAGAAGATTTCCCGTAAGATATTAGACGGACAGAAGGTTTTTGTTGTATTTCCTTTTGCATCTGTAATTTTTTGGTTTTCTTTCGGAATTTGGTCTCTTGTTTAGATGCGATTTTTGTTGCAGAACATCGGTGAAAGTCTCGCGGAGCCATCAAAATATCCGAATCTTTTCTCGGATTTTAGTGAAACACTAAAAGCTGAGCGGTTCCTAAAAGAATTAGCGAAGTTACCAATTAAAGCGTCAGCGCATCCACCAACTAATGCACAGCGTAATATTCTTGAAGAAATGGCGGAGGCTGAAAAATCAGGTTGGTGATTAACTTTATTTTTTTTCACTAACAAAGTTAGACGAAAAGTATTGAAAGTTGTTACAAGGTTGCGTTTCAGGTGCATTAATCTTTCATAAAGATGGAGCTGCGGAATTGTTGAGAAACGGAAGTACTGTTCTGGACAGCAGGATTATGGAAGCATCTCAGACTGCAACCGACACAACCTTACTATCCGCAAATGCACAGACTGTTCTGAATTCCTCGAAAACATCGCTTACCACTTCTAGTAGTTCACTGTCGCAGATTTCATCCAAAACTTTTTATAAGTCTTGCACAGCTCCAGTTTTTCAAGCTGATGCAACAGTTACAAACGACTCTTCTAAATGTGTGTTGGGACTACGCCTTTGTTCACCAGCATCTCACAGTTCAGCGGCTCGTTCATCATCTCAAGATGTCACAACTTCAGCTGATATAAATTCTGACATTACTGAAAACAGCGAAGAAGATGAGGTAAATAGGAATTGACATAGCCATCATTCAAGCTCGTACTTCGAAATATGTTATTGGCTAATTTTTTGTACTTCAGGGGAATTTGTTGGATGCAGCCATGGGTCCAGACATTGTACGCGACCGTGCTCGACCAGATATCGTTCCTTCAGATGGAGGACCGGACGTTGTTGGAAGTGCTGTTCAACCACAGCCCGAAGCAAGTGTTTTTCTTCCATGCAGCGCTACTTAATTCTGCTGGAATTACTGAAAATCAATATATGCAGCGAAACTATCTCCATAATTAATTTCTTAAATGGAGAATTTTGTTGAAGCGTCAATTAAATATCATATATTCTTCCTAGTTTTTGATTTTTTTTTTGGAGTTTTCATGTTATTATGATGATTTTAATATGTTCAGGTGGTGCAAGATGCAGAAATAAGAAATCAAGAGGGAGTAATAGCTTGGAGCGATAACGAAGACGATGATCAGTTTGATGACGATGCTGCATTCAATATTGATGATCTGAATTTAGAAAATAATGAGTGATATGTTTGGCTATATTCCTGATTTACACTCCAGTTCCTTTTTTTAATATTTTATTTTAAGGTGGAAGTTTTACAGTATGTTAAATTATGTTCCCTTTGTTATATCATTATGTGATATGTTATTTCCGGATGAGGAATGCTTCTTTCTTAATTTATAAATATGTACTTTCGAGCTGGATTTCTTGTTTCTTCGAAGTGTTTATCACTGACAACTTTAGGGATGCAATTATTTCAGGCCTTTAAATTCTTCAATTTTTTGTTTTAATATGGCCATTTGTTCCACTAAAGAAAATTCCAGATTTGTTTTTGAAGATTTGGGAATTTACATGTCTCAGGCAATTATTTTTTGTCTGAGATCATATCAGTTGTGATTTGCGTTGATGTAGTGGGTGCTCCCTTTCTTTGATTTCATACTGGTTACTATTTGTTGATTTTGATGTCTATATCAAACAAACTATCATACTTTTGTAACTTTATAAAATGTACTATTATAAAAGATGTCTTCATATCACCATTATCATATCAATGTTCAGTCTAAATTAGCAAAGTTGTATTCGTAATCATTGGTGAAAGAGTGCTAAAAGCTTGATTAACACATTGGATGCCTATGTAGAAAACAGTCCAGTAAAAGCTGGAGGTTTTTAATGGTGGGTTTTGTGGGTATATTTTAATTTGCCTGCCACTGGGACTTTTCGTTTCGTGACTGATTTTATTGTACTATCAGCCCTCATGAAGATTGCTGACATTTTGTACATGCATATTGATTGCATTGCTTTTACAGATAAAGTTAAAAACTCAAATCTTCACTGCAGGATGTGAAGTTTAAGTGTTTGACCAGTAGTTCTCGTTTGCCCCATCTAGTCTAATTTTCCTTGGAGTGCCACATAGTTTTGGATGAAAGATACAGTCCTTGCAGTTTGTGTGTGGGATGGGAGCGGGAGAAGGAGTTACAAGTGGTATACAAGTGTCAAAAATTCTGTTACAAAAAGGATATCTATGAAAATATGAGGATTTGAAATCCCTCTAGTAATGGATTTCAAATGATGTTACTAGAATTTTAAATCTCTAGAAATCGTAATCTTAAAAATGATCATCGTTGAATACGTTTTTGTCCAAACATTTCATGGGTGGCATGTACTTTCCCATCGTTACCATCTCTGTCTTTTGAATTGTATTACTTCGACTGCAAAGTTACTACTTTCTTGAACTAAACACAAATTTCTTTCTCTGTCAAATTACTTTGACAAGACCCTTTAGAAAAAAATAAAATTTATGTAACCGAAATGAGTTACATTTAAAAAATGCTTTTTTTCTGCCATTTTCTCTGTGCTTGTAAGAAAATGGCAGAAATTTCTTGATGAACAGTTTCTTGAAACTTTTGTAAGTTCATTTATATTGAGAAATTTTTCTGCAACTTATATTTTTTCTCAACTAACTGGTTGTTTCATTTCATCAATGATGTCTAGCAACGATATCATTTCATTATACTTCATTGCTGCTTTCAGCATTGAGTGAAATGCTTTACTGTAACTTTTAACTTTATGACATTTTTTGGTGAATATCTTAAAAAATTCAAAAAAAAGAAAATTATGTGGAAAGTATGTTGCTAACGATTAATGATTCTAGACTTTGAATCTTGATAATCTAAAACCTCAGATCATTTTTCGGAATTCTTAGAACTAACTTATATCGGTTTCGCTTGCTCAAATTTCTTGAATCATATACAGATCAAAATCTGATTCTAACATTCACTATTACCTTGTATCTTATTTCTTTGATGTAACAGAAGTCCTTTTTATTTATATTCTTAAACTTTTTTTGAGAAAATGAAGGCTTAGAGATTTTTTTACTGATTTGACTGAAGTAACTATAATTATATCAAAAATTAGAATCCAAAAATAAATTAAAATTAAAATGCGTGATGAGAAAATACATTGTTCTCAATTCCTTTCAAACAAAAGACTAGAAAAATCTTATAACACGGAGCATGCAAAAATTATGCGTTTTGAGCGAAGTATTTCCGACTCTTTTTTCGGAAGTCGATAGCATTATGCAGAAAATGTTTATTTGAGCGTTTCTGAAATTTTACAATTCATGGATTATTTGTGATAGTTATAAGTCTTTCCTTTAATAGATTGTACAACAAGAATTTGCAATAATAAAGAATAGTTTCATATTGAAGGAACGAAGTTCAGATTTTCTGTGAGATATATTTCGAGTATCACTTTTTGTTAATTTGCCTGTGTTATATTCCGAATTGTTATTTCTGATAATTTTCTGGTTATCTTTTATAATTCCAGTTAGAGAATTACCATCGGAGACATTTATTGCCACGGCATGCAGTTTTAAAATTAATCTTATGATGATGCTTCGACACTTTCATTAATTTTGCAATTGTTTTAGTAAGAGTTCTTGCACTGCAAATCCTTTCGATGTTTGAATTATAAATACTAAGTTGTAGTTTTCTCGGAGAAATGTTTTTATTCCCTATCTGATTAAACTGTTCATCTCGTTGCTATAATATCAACAATATATCATTCATTTCAGCTGGATAATATTTAAGCGCATATTACTGATAAAAACTGTCTGCTAGTTTTTGTCCTGATTGCTTGTTCTAATAAGCTATCAAAACTGGGTAAAGAATAAAATGCAACTGGTTAAACAACAGATTATTGATCTTAGGAATGTTATGCTACTTGCTGTTGTATTTCATTAGCATTCACTTTTCTCTCCATGAAAATTGAAAATTTTTTAACTAGCATTAAACAAATTTTGGAAATCCTTCGCTGTTTTGGCTGTTTTCAATATTTTACTTAGCAGAGAGGAGATGTGGTATCTTCAACACTTATGACTATAAAATCAAACCGTTCGACCAATTCCTCTTTAACAAGCACTGTTGACTGCCAAGATTATATGTGTGGTGTTGCTGCAATCGAAGCATGCAAATTTTCTGAGGTATGTAATGAACAATATTTCTAAATTATTAGATCACTAAATGATACATAATACTTGAGATTCATGTAATCATATTACCATATTTGTGAAGTAAATGTACTTGTGTGTGATTGGTCAAAATCTATTGGATATATGTTATGCAAAAAAAAGACCAAAAGATCATGTTGTTGATATCAACTGATGCCAGTACTATTCAACAGATTCTTTTAATCTTCTGCAAATCGATTGTCAATATTCTTGCTGCATATTTTTCGATAAAATGAATACCTATCTCATATCACATGTAGAAATATATTTTAAGTAAACATTAAAGCATCATTTCCTAAGGATACCAGTTTCAGAACTTTTGCTTATTATCAAAAAATTGACTTTTAACAATAAATTTTGAAAGAAATAATTTCCAGAAACTGGATATTTGAACATGGAAAACATATGATTTTATAAAACTGCAATTCATTTCATCAAGAAAGCGAGAACCATGTCATTCAGTTATTGCAATATTTTATCATTTGAACTGAAATTAATATTTCATCACAGACAGTTTGAAAAGTGGAAAGAAGAGGTAAATATTAATGTTTAAATCTCTTAAACCAGGAATAAATAAATAATAACGGTTGAAGCGTAACACTTCATTATTGAATATAGCCTTTAAAATAATCTGATCAGAAATGTGCGCCAAACACAATAATCAAATACTAAAACGAAGAATCGTAAATAGAAATGTCATTATCGTTACACTCTTATGCTCAATTCTGTGGAATTTTTTTTAGCTTTGCTCCCATGCCTCATGCAAAAACATTCAGTAAATATTTTTTTTTTGGTGTACTATTCATCGTAATGGGTCAGAAATGTATAGAATTTTGAATGATTTCACAATTACATAAATTTAATACAAATTCATATAAAAAAGGAAGAGTTTTAAAAATTAATTTGAAATTTTTAAGTTGAAACAAATCTATATTTACATATTTCTTTTGTGTAAATGTGAGTTTACATATTTAATCATGATAATTTCAACCATTTAATCTTCGGTATGGCGGCCGTTTTTATATTATCTTCAACGTTGTCATCCATATCAGTAGATTATAAATGACGGCAGTTATAGAAGTATCTTATCAGGTGTGATTACTTTAAATAGAAAATAAATAATGAATCAATTTAGATGATTACATTTTTTCCATGAGCATCGAAGAATGACATCGAGATATTTATTATGTCAAGGTTCTGCTAAATATTTGCTCTGAAATTGTTCAGTGTATAGCTATTAAATCCTTAAAATTCTAATTTTAAGGGAAATTGTTAATGCAAAACTTTCAGTAATTCAATCATTCTCTGTTGTTATGATTATTACTAAATGCGTAAGTAATGCTGTGTAATCAAAATTTTAAATCAATTCATTGGTGATATTTTTGAGTGCCATTTTGATTGGTAGCTGAGGAAAGGACATGCGGAGTAGGTTGTTTGTTAATTAGTAAAATGAAAACATGTTAAAATTTTAGAATACGTGTGTGACTGTCTGTTTGGAATAATTTTGTGAAACGACCTTTTTATGAAAAAGGAGGACGAACGGACAAGTAGATGATGGAAGAGGAGCTAGTGAACCAGATAACGATCAAACGACCTCGCTTTTGCCAGCACTAAACTGACTAAACTGATTGCATCAGACGATATGGTGGGGAAAAAGGAAGGAAGGTAGGTTGATGGAAAGGTAAGAAGTAAAGAATTTCATCAAGGAGAAGTGAGAACGAGTTCTGAGTTACCGAGCTCACTTCATCCATCAGAATCCTGAAATTTCTCCTTAACTAACTGACCAACCTAAATTTTTAACTCATCTACTTGTCATTCTATGGCGATTTTGCTAAATTTGCATATTTAAATAACACTTTTGATAAAAACAAATCCGGTGATTATTTCATGGTCTAATTACGATATCTGAAGTACTGTTATCAACGATTTGATCATGATTGGATAATGGCTGATAAATATTAATTATGAAAGGGTACCGCCAAGTGAAAAGTATCAGAAATTTTGACTTTTATTTAGAGTCATTGGAAATCTGTTATTGAAATTTCAAGTAACATTTATTTATTTTAAAAATAATACGTCAGTCTTTATTCAGCGTGCTAATTAATTATTATAAAAAGATCATGTTTGGTGACAAATTTTCTCTATGTGACGAAAAGAAAAGCTGATAACATCCAATTAGAGCATACTTTTGCTCAAATGAATTTCCGGTGGAGATATCAGCAGGTAAACGGCGCCAGAAGCCAAATGAATGTAATTTCTAAAAGATCCAAATCATTCTCCTAATTTGAATATCAAATTGACGAAAAAAACAATAAAAAATACCTTTTTATACCATTTCCGGTTAAAGGTTATGCATTTTTAGAAAAGAAGGGCAAGAATAAAAAAGTTATGCAAGCTGAGACAATAAAAAAACTCTTACGATTTCTAGTAGCAAAAAAAACCTAATTATTCAAAGTAAAAACTTTGAAAATTATCGTTTAACAATTGCGGAAAGAGGAAACTAAGCGGATGTATGTGAACCTTAAAAATTTCGCATGCTTTTAAAAAATAGAATGGAACAAGTATGAATGCGCTGACACGATATTTTAGAAGTATCTTTATCATATTGGAGTGCTTGTTGCAGTTCGTTATTTCGTCCCTATTTATTGCCACTGGCCTTGCAGATACAACTCTCAATGCATCAAATTTATACGACAATAAATAAATGAAAGTGAAATTTGACAAAATTGTCGTGAAGCCATTCAAAAATATGACACATATTATGATAGGCTTTCAGAATGGCCAGAATTCCAGAACTGTGTTAAAACTGATTGATGGACAGTTATGCCAACATTACAAATACGTTTTTGAGAAGCTAAGTGAGAAAATACTTTAGTTCCATGTAGCTTTATGCATTTAGTTTTAAAAAAATGAATGCTTGATAAGTCATGAAATTAAAATTGAACTTATAAAACTATTATCTTCTTTCAAATTTTGAGCGTTGCTTTAAAACTGTCTGAAACGAGGTACAAAAAGTAAAACTTACAATTTCTTAACAAAATATTAGCTTCTCCATTTGGTTGAATGACAATCGGAAATAGTTCAGGTCAAAAAATTTGAGAATAAACATATGCAAAATTATTCGTGAGAATTCAAAATTGTTAATTTTTAAAATCTATTTGAAAAGTCAAAATTTTCATCATGTATTGCTAATGCTGAACGAATTATGCTGAAATTTGATCATGAGAGAAACGAGAGAAATGAGAGAATCCACACATGGAATATATCGCATAGCTTAATTTTACAACGAATTAAACAGAAGGCACTTCAAGAACCATTTAATAAACAGAACAAAGCCATACAAATGGTAATGTAGAAAAGTGATTGAGGTCGATGCATGCTTTGTTTTATTATTAACAAAAGCCATACGAAATCCAGTCATACTGATTTTACCTCTCATTCTCTGTAATGAATGTACAATCGTTTCAGCTAAATGGAACAGCAAATTTTAAGATCTTAAGCGGAAAATAAGAAAGGAAAATATAAAATATTTTAAAGAAAAAAGTCTCAGGCAAAGAAATGCAGATTAAAGAGAGGCATGAATAGTAAAGCTCGCTTTTCATGGATCACAAGCATGCAGGACTGATTTAAAAATCCAAAAATAACGTTTGGGAAAGTTTTTAGAAAAATAGTCAGTTATGAGGCATGAAAGATAAATTGAGCCGGATATGGTGTTTGAGTGGCAGCTGGGATATATGCATGCGCTGAAGGTAAATGAAACTTCATATCACCGTATGGATTCGGCTGTGGCTTCAACATGTCGTAGAATGGTCCCTCCGGTGGACCACGCTTCTTGTTCTTGTTTTTTGTGCTAATTTTGCGATTTCTAGTTTGAATACCATCCTTTTTCATTGATATTGGTCGTGAAATCTGCAAAAAAAAGAAAGAAATCTGCATATTAATTTACTTTAAAAATTTTATGCATATTTGAATAGATCTATTTTGCATCAGTTTATTTACGACTTTCAGTTGATTTATGGAGGATCAGCAAATGAATACATTTAATCCAATTTAAAAAAATGAAAAATGTGTTAAACATCTGTTGATGGGATAACGAATGAGGCGCGAAAAAAGAGTGGCTATGATTGAAACAAGCTGGCAAGTAACAAAGAAATCATCATTTGTGAATTATTGTAATGGAACCAGTAGCAGGCGTCCTTTTACAAATATTGTTGCGGTAGCTTTATGGTTGTACAATCTGACCGACGAACCTAAAGGCGGCGTTGGAGGCAAAAGCATTCATCAGTCTTTGTTTTAGAGCAGAACAATAGCTCTTACTATTATAATAGTGTAACAATGAGCTATTTTACAATTCAAACCTTTCAAAATTTAAATTCCAACCCATACACATTTTCACAGCTTGAACGAGAAGCTTCTCACACCATTGCCTGACACCTTCTACTCCGCCGAAAAAAAATTACAAAATTAAAGACCCAGAAGAATTATGTTAATCTCGAATTTTCCAGAGTTTTAACTGACTTGCTTCTTAATATTTGCCACTCTTTTGTTGTTCATTTAGAAGAAAATCACTTTAAATTTAAATGAGCAAAAAGATTGTGGAAAAATTGATAATAAAATCTTCATTAGGCAATTAATTTTAGTAATTACAGAATATTTTCAGCTTTTTCGTAAATCATCGTTTGTGTTTTTGGATAAACTATAAAAAAATGCACAATGGTGGTCGTTTACGATGGCCGGGCCACAACCATCAATCATATTTATGATTAGCCAGTGGGCGCCTCCTTCGTAACATACAGTGTTACAGAATTTCTTTTTTTAGAATTTGTTGATCATTTGAAAAAAGCTTCAATCAGCCCAAAATCAGCTTTGCAAAATTTAACTGACTTGTAAATTTTTGAAAGGTGAACATTATGAATCTATTTCATAGTAGACTTGTTAGTCAAACAATCTGCATGATTCTATTTTGTTGCAAGTGAAAGTAAAAATTTTCTATAATTTTGCGCTTTTCTTATTTTCTGCTTTTAATTTTTTGCTTTCATATAAATGAAACTTTAATATCAAAAGTACAATTAGGAAAAACATGTTTAATATTTGTTTTGCATCATTCAATTATTCTAAATTTTGTATTACCAAATGACTACATGTTTCCTTTCCCTTTTTTAAAATTTGGCTTCATGAAATAGCTTCATATTCTGTTACATCTTCATTTTCTTTCATAAATCATTATTTCGCCAATTATCTTACACTAAATCATCAGTTTTCTGGCCATTCAAACAAGGAAAAAAGTGCCAGTTTCTTTGAAAATCGATTTAATTCTTCTTTTTTTGCTCTAACTTTTTAGATACTATTTAAGTTAAATTTAAAATAGCTAACATTGTGCAATTTATGATAAAGACCGCAGGCATTGCAAACTGGTTGTCCTAAAGAGTTCCGCCTCCATAACGTTGTATTATTCGTTTTACAATTGACACATTCGATACCCGTCCTCTTTTGTGCACTCTGTAAATAAGTATTAATAAGCACTCATTTCTCAAGTTTATTACGACAACGTTTAAGAGTAGTTAAAAATTCTTAGTAATCTATGCTTCCTTAAGTTTAAAGATGAAAAGAAAATGAGTAGCAATAAACTTTAACTAAAAACAAAGGGACTATTTTTTGTCTCTTTGAAGATAGAAATAAATTAAATGAGCCTATTAGCTGTTTTTACAATACTTTTTTTTAAAACGTAAGTCTTTACAAACTTATTAGCATTCGAAATATTTCGGTCTTTTAAAATTTCAAAATTTCAAATGCTTGTCAAAATATTTCAAATTTCTTGAAATTAATTTTAAATAAGTCACGGTCCAAGTGATTTTTTCTTTTGTAGTAAAATAAGTGTTTATGCATTAGATAAACGCATTCAATGAGCCGTAAAAGTCCATTCTCAATTGAGTAAATATAGCAGCTTGACCAAGTAATTGTTGTATATATCACAGTGGTATGGATGTTGCAGGTTGAGTATACTGTAATAAGTAGCATTAGAGATGTATTCCTGCAATTAATTAGGCTTCTTAACTCATACCTCATCTACCTTTGTACGTTTCCCAAACTATTTAAATCACTTTGTTAGAATTGTTCGTTTTTCCGGAAATTAAAATACTTTTTCTCGTTCTTTTTTTAACTTTTCCCTCCTCTACCTGCCGTTTTGGTCCCCGTGTCTAAACCCCTTCCTCTGTTTCGTTTATATTCGACATAAGTCATATCATCCGATCCATTGCCTTCTCGAAACTTCCCTCACCCTTCACCTCCTTCTTCTCTCTCTCTCCCTCCCCCTCTCTCTCTCCTTTAATTGTCCTCGGAATTCACCCATCTTCCATCCCTCTTATCCTTCTCTCTGAGGTCTCAAAAAGCACCGCTGTAATATGTTTAATAGGCTCAATGCACGAAAAAACGAGCAAAAATGTCACTTAACGCAGTATCGTTTTTAATTAGTGAAGCGCTGGAAAATACCCTCTGCCGACAGTTTCAGTCATAAAACTGCCTGTCGAAATTCCAACATCCACTCATTTTGTAATTGCAATGGATGACAGCTGCTACTTCCAATTATGTCAATTAACGCTTACAGAAAAACAAATCAAGAACAGCACTGCTCCGAATAAATCTACAGGAAAGAAAGAATCAATCCATTTATTCCAGGATGGCACTGATAGAATCTCATTTCTATTTTCTTAAACAGCCAAACAAAATCTGCACTTTCTCCATGCAATCTCAAATATTGGTAAATGGTCATTGGCATCACTCAATATTTGAGTTTTGTTGATTAGCATAATTATAGGATTAAAGAAAAACAATAAAATAGGCAAAACTAATTCATGTAAGCTATCAAAAATTTTCAGGCATACGAAAAAAAGGTTGAAATGTGATGAATAAGTGACAGTGAAGATATGATTGGGTATGATTCAACGAACAGCTTTTTATCAAAATGAATCATCATTGGATCCCTTA